CTCAACTCAGAGAAACTAAAGCAGATACCTTAAAAGCAACTGAGGCCAATAGGAGAAGGGGACCAGGAACTAGAGAAAAGGTTAGATCAAAAAGAAATAACTTAGAAGGTAACACACATGCACAGGAAATTAGTGTGAGTCAACTCCCTGTATAGCTATCCTTATCTCTACTAGCAAAAACCCTTGGTTCTTCCTATTATTGCTTATACTCTCTCTTCAACAAAATTATAGATAAGGGCAAAATAGTTTCTGCTAGGTAGCGAGGGGGTAGGGGGGAAGAGGGAGGGGGCGGGGGGGTAACGGAGGGGATGGGGGCAGGGGGGAGAAATGACCCAAGCATTGTATGCACATATGAATAATAACAGAAAAAAAGAAAACATGGATGTGGGAGCCAGGGAGAGCAAGTAGAATTGATCCCACTAACCATCCCTGTGCAAGTTAGTGCTTTCGGTTCTCAAAAGTCTAGGCTCTTCTGGAGGTCTTGATTCCTAGAGCAGGACACTTCCAGAAGGGAGCCAGGAAGAGTCTCACTAACCTTCAAGTGACCGATGCTGCCTGCCACATGAGGTTCCTATTGTCAAAAGACCAGAAGGCCAGGAAAGGACCACCTCCTGACCATCCCAGGTGGTGGGATGCCATAGATTAGTGGGGACAGGGAAGAGCAAGTCTGATACTTTTATGAGCGTGGGGTGTCTTTTGGTGCTTTCCTGTCCAACTCTGATGGTAGGTGGACAAGTACAGTAGTCACACCCTAGAAGGGCATGCTGACAATGGACTCTTGAGGGCTCAGGATGGAAATGTGTCACTCTACCAGGTAGGTCACCTAGAATAGCAGAGGTTCTAGTCGGGCAGGTGGCACTTTACTAAGAGGTAATACTTGAGGGGACAATGAGGCTCTGCTGTGGCTCTAAGATCACTGTAGCCTTCCTCTTGTAATCCCCACCCCTCAAAGCGGATCAACCAGAATTCTGGAGATGCTTTTCCCAAATGGGTGAATTTATACCATGCCAACTGCTACCCAGACTCCCTCTTCAGAACCAGGCTCTCACTCCCTTCGGTGCTGGCAGTATTTGCTGTTGATGACTCACACCTAAGTCCCTCCTTGGGAACTGCCCTCAGTTGGGGGTACTTCCTTTGTCAAGACTGTGGGCCCCCATCCCGGAGGCATCCCATATCCAATGATATCTATGCAGGGCCAGCCAATGAAGTCTCTGTAGGCCCATCTCTTGGGTTTGCCTGGTGCCTCCATTACAGCCCGTCAGTTCAACATCTGCTCCCCAAGAAGCTGCCTGTACGCAAATATCTGTCTCACCATGTTTCCTGTGGAATCCAAGCTGTACTGTAAATCTTAATCATTCTGAAATATCTGTTACTCAGCAGTCCAGTTCTCACTTTCTCCTTGCTTTAGCAATGATGTTCATTGTGTTTTGTCCTGACACACCTACCTGGCCTTAAACACTGGTCATCAGAATCCCACACCTGATCAGTTCTCCCCCACACCCCATTCAGTGAATACTGCTCATTCATCGTTGCATCATTTGTACTTTCTTCCCAAGATTTCTAAGCAACTTAGTGCATAGCAGAGTAGGAGCTCAGTAAGCACCTTTTAATGTATTACAAAACATTTTATTTAAGGAAAAAATCATAAAGAATGTAACATCTGAATGCACTCTATTTGCCTTGAGAAATGAGACAATAGCAGTCCAACCGCCTGTTACTTTTTCTCACCAACACCCACTCTCTTGAATTTAGCTTTAAGCCTTCTCATGCTTTTTAAAGAAATGGAATTAATAACGACACAAAACAGTATTAAGTGGTATCATACCATTTGCATTCACTCAACACTGTGAAGTTCATTAATGTTGATGTATGATTACAACCATATAGTATTTATGTATTGACTATCACATATTCTTTTGAAGACTATGTATGATTTGCCAGTCTCCAGTAGATGACATTTTGATTGCTTGTCCCCCCCCCACCCAGGAACAATGGTGTAATGCATATTCTTGTCTTTGCGTATCTGGGCAAGCTGCTCCAGGGAACATACCTAGAGGGAAGTGCTGGGTCCTAGAGGGTATCTTTATTTACTAGAAATTTCTAAATGGTCGAAGTTATTAATTTATTTAACCCCCTTCCAGCAGGGCATAAGAGTTCTTGTTTATTTGCAAATCTACACTCTCATCAATTTTGACATTGACAGACATCCCCCCGACCCCCAGTGTGAAATTGTACATTTTTCATTTTGGTTTACATTTGTTTAAGTCTTACGTGAATGTAAGCTCCTTGTGTTTGCTGCTCAAAAATTATTTGCTAGGCCTGTAGTTGCAGCTACTTGGCATGCTGAAGCAGGAGGATTACTTGAGTCTAGGGGTTTGAGAATAGCTGGGGCAACAGGTTGCATAGAGGAATACAGAAGGTTCTGCTCATTTATATAATCTCTGGAATTTAGCATCAGTTTGATTCCTGCATAGGTTCCATTCCTAGACTCCCCTCTTGCATTATTTTGCCTTTCTAACCTGGCCCTCCATCAGCTTCTCCTTTCACCCAAGCTCTCTAGAGATGTCTCGACCTTGGCTTTGTCTTAGTGACTGTGTTACTCACGACACTGACCTGCTCCTCATCACCAGTTTTGTAACTTCACTCTGGCTTCCCATCCAATCCCCACTTTATTTGTGGACAAATATGCTAGGCTGAGATTTAACACCTAAGATTTCAAAGCCAATCATAAACTTAGGCTTCAAACAGGCACACACCTCACTTTTGCATTTCTGATGGTGGTACCAACAATCTTTGCTTCACCAGTCTTGAACCCTTTTTTCCTCTCAAAATAAATTTACTAGCATGCATTAATGGTATAAGGGGGTTGCACTGCGACAATTCCAGATATGTATGATGTAGTTTGAACAAGCTCACCCCTTCTATTACCTTAACACCCTCTCACTTTTTTCAAACAGTACTTGTTATCTGTGACCTACTATGATCCTCTTCACTCCCAATACATCTCCCCCCCCACTTTCCTCTCCTGCTGATCCCCCCAGTCAGTCCCCTTTTTACACTCATGTCCCATCATATCATTGCCATTTTAGGTCTAGATTCCACGAGTGAAATCATGAAGTATTTGAGCTTGACTTATCTTGCTCAACATGATTTCCAGTTCCATCTGTTTTCCTGCAAACAACATTAATTTCACTTTTTTGGCAGTTCTGGGATTTGAACTCAGGGCCTTATGCTTGCTAGGCAGGCATTCTACTATAGCAGGGAAGAGGCAAAAAAAAGAAACAAGCAATTCTGTGTTCTGATAATGTAGCAGGGGGAGGGGTCAGCATAGCAGGGAGATAAAACTTAAAAAATCTAAACGTGAAGGAAACTTAAAAAATCTAAACGTGAAGGTTACGAGGCACAGGGGTAAACTAGCCAATGGAATTGCATGCAACCATATATGGGTGAAACCTTGCTTTTTTGCTTCTGTAGCCTGCTTACAAGGTTATATAAGGTGAGACCCCTTGTTCTCCAGGCTCAGACTTTGGATGTGAATCCGCTGAACCACTGCAACTGCTTCCTGAAAAGCCTTGGTGTTCTGTTGTCTCTGGAGATTCCCATTCCTTGCAGGCGTTTGTTGATTGTTTTCTTGATGACTGCCTTGCCTGGGGTGAGACAAAAATCTCAAGTGTCCTTTTGATTTACACTTCCTTCATGGCTAAGGATGTTGAATGTTTCTTCAGGTATTTATTAGCCATTCGTACTTTTTCTGAGAACAGTATGTTCAATTAACTTGTCCATTTATTAATTTGATTATTTGTTCTTTTGGTGTTTAATTTTTTTTAGCTCTTTATATATTCGGATATTAAGCCGTTAAGTCCATCAATCTCAGCTTCATTCCCTCCCAAAAGACAGCAGGCAGGAAAGTCTACAGAGAACTCTAGGAAAAACTGGATCTAAGTCAGAGGTAACCAGTCACTGAAGGATGCCAACTGTGAAAGTTCCCGACAACTTTCACAGCTTTCCTTTCCTTTCTGCTTTAGATGTCTTAGTCCTGCTTCTGTCTGCTCTTACTTGGAGCTTCTTGCAATAAACCAGATTAAGCTGGAGAGAACCTACACAATCAGTTCTGAGTTGCCTGAAGGGACTCCCTGAAGTTACTGGAAGCCCATCTTTAGTGAGGTCTCAGGGCTACAGTTGGGAAGAGATCCCTGAGGCCTTCCTGAGCTCTACCAGGAGCGGTTTCCAGTTTTTTTTCTTTTTCTTTTTGTAGTGCTGGGGCTTCATGCATGCTAGGCAAGCACTCTACCACTGAGCTATATCCCCAGCCTTTTTGGTGAGACTGGGGTTTGAACTCAGGGCTTTCGGCTTGCAAAGCAGACGCTCTACCGCTTGAGCCACACCTTTTTATTTTATTCTTTTAGGACAGGTCTTGCTGTGTAGCCCAGGCTGGCTTTGAATGCTCGATCCTCCTGCCTCAGCCTCTGGAGTGCTGGGATTACAGGCATGCGCCCACCAAGCCCCACTTCAGGAGAGGTTTTTTCCAATTTTTTATTAGCATATATTCATTGTATAGGGGGGATTCATTGTGACAATTCAGAATAGCCTTACATTGTATATTG